CTACATCTACCCTCTAACTCTACACCTACCTTCTAACTCTACATGAACAAACATGCATCAGTTTCTCTGTCCTAGTTGCACTTTAGTGAAAGTTTTGGACAGTTCAGTCCAACCTTCTAGACTTGTAGACATCGATTCGTTTTCAGCATCTTTCTGGCCAAGAAAACACCAAACCTTGGCAGTATTTCTACATTGGAAGAAGGCCGGCTTAGTCATCTTGTTTATTTGTAAGCTGAAGCTTAATTACAAAAGTTCAAGAGAAAACTCAGACAGATTTAATGTGACAAACAGCGATACAAACGTAAAAGTCAGCAGCATGGCTCCGAGCAAACGGTTGTGTCCTCCTGCTGTTGATCGACTTCCTTCTAAAGTACAACTCTTAGTTTTACAAACAGGAATGAATAAACAACAAAAAACATACTGTGACTTGAATACTGGTGGAAACACTCAGTGCTGTGCTGAACTTCTTTCTACAGCTGATGAGCAGAGCAGAGAGGGAACATCTGGAGACATGGAGATAGTTCAACATCTGCAGGATGAGGAGACCACATGAGCACAAAGAGACACAGAATGAGAGAAATGCAACAAAGAACAACAAAAATGAGACACAGAAAACAGAAAGAAGACATAGCAAAAGCCAACTTTATTTTGCGACATGACTAGACTCGTCCTGATCATGTCGTGCAGAAGAGGAAGTTCTGGTGTGAAGGACTGGCAGCACTTCAACGTTCTCGTGACCCAGAACGTGAGTCGTGACACAAGCTGAGAGTTGTGATGTTGTCTCTGCCGCATGAAGAGCCTCTCTGATGAAGAGGATTCCTGCCGAGCTCAAGAAGCTCCTCCATCGTCCCTGAAGCGATGAGGCTGGAGGAGACCTCGCAGCGTCCTCTGTGGTCGCCACGGAGACGGAATATTTTTACCCCACGCTGCCCAGACGCTGCCATCACCTGTGCAGCCAATCAGACTGGCCCTCCTCCTGCTGCAGCCGCCATCCTTCACGGCTGACAGAGCCGAGCAAACACACTTTATTTCCAACATGGAGCTCCTCGTCGTGTTTAAACTGGTTTATTAGGGACGCGTTTATGGAGCAGGCAGCTGCACGGCAACACAAGAACTCAGAGCGGCGACGCAACCTGTGCAGCTTTCTGTATTTCTACACACAGTCCGTCTGTCAAGGCACAAAACACAATGTCATAGCTGATGTAGTTCATTTTGTTTATTGGGACAGATGGAAACGAGAATCTTAAACATCTTCATGAACCTTCTGAGCTCCCGTGTTTGTCTGCAACATCAAGTCCTGCAGCTCTGTGGAACCAGAACATGAAGGAAGAGACAGAACTCAGAGACGTTGTCTGTCAGCAGGAAATCAGATAAAAAGTGGTTCCAGCCTCTCCAGACCTTTCCTCTCTGCTCTGCTCATCAGATGTAGAAAGATGTTCCACCATCAGCTGTAGAAAGATGTTCCACCTTCAGATGTAGAAAGATGTTCCACTATCACATGTAGAAAGATGTTCCACCATCAGATGTAGAAAGATGTTCCACCTTCAGATGTAGAAAGATGTTCCACTATCACATGTAGGAAGATGTTCCACCATCAGATGAATGTATCTCCACCAACTGGCTCCTCTGGTCTCTGGTTCTGATCCGTGCTGCATCTATTCATTGATCCAGGAGGTTGGATTCTCCTCTCAGTCTGAAATGGTCCTAAATTGTTTAAAACATGTCCAAAACTTTTGAATCCTTTTGGAGAGTTTCTGTTTTCTGTGAGTCTCATTTTGAGTCTTTTGTCGTTTTCTTACTTCTTCGTTCTCATGAAAGCTGTTGGTCACGTCTGTCTGCCAAAACAACTCAAACTGTCCAAAACAATTTAAAACTTTTCTGAAATAACTTCAAACTATCCAAAATGACAAAAACATGTTCACATTTCCTTGAATGTTCCAGACTCACTCAACATTTGCTCAAAATGAGTTGTGAGGTGTCCAAAATGACAAAAAATGTCTTGTAGCTTGGTAAGAAAAAAAAAGATTCATAGTTTGATCAAAATACCAAAAAGAAAAGCTTAAAAAAAGGGCTTGCATTGTCAGAAATGATTTGAAACATCTACAAAGTGACTCAAAATCATCTGAATGGCTTAAAAATAGTCCAAAATTATTCAAACTTTTGCCTAAATGATTTTTAAAAAATGTCCAAAATGCCAAAAAAAAATAGCCCAAAAATCACAGAAATGACTTTAAACTTGCCTTTTTCTTGTCAAAACAAAATGCAACATGAATTAAATGCTGCTGGTTCTTAGTGAAGTAAAGCTTGAGCGCTTCATGCTGTCCTGATACCAGACGTCTTCCAACACAGTTGTTCATGTTTCATCTGTGAGATCATAAACAGGAACCTGTGATGCTCGTTAGAATCCACCTGAATCCATGGATCTGTGGCGCCTGATTGGTCAGGTTCCTCCTGACAGCAGCGTTTGTAGACGTCGATGTGTTGCTGATGATGTCCTCTTCTGTTTCCACAGAGTCTGGGAACGCCGAGTCGATACGACACCAGGAAAAAGTGAGTTTTCTTCTTTGATTCCCGCCTTTTAGCGCTGAAATGTTTCCTGCGTTTCGTTCTTTCTGTTTGCTGTTTGTCTGAAACGTTTCCTGCAGTGATCAGTCACGATGTAATGAAACAGGAACTGTTGACCTCCGCTGGGTTTTTCTGACAAACTGCGTCATGTCACCGTCCTTGCTGCCTCCATTTTCACTCGCCAAAGTCAAATCGGCGCTTTCAGCAGGAACAAGAGCTTTGGTTGAAGCCTGAGCGATCTCAGGAGTTTGGTTCAAGTCAAAGACTAGATACAGACACTTGTTCTGTCAGGATCAACCTCTCGCCATGTAACGGACCTGAACATCCAGCTGGACGAGCCAAGACAAGGAGACTAAATCTGAATAGATATCAAGACATACACAGCTCAGAACGCACCAAAATGACTCTCAGTTCGACCGAATCACCCCAAATCTGGCCAACATTCATTAGAGATAGTCAGAAATAACCACATATTGTCCAGAATGACCAAAAGTGTTGCCAAAGTGGTAAAAACGTGTCCAAAATGATTGAAAGTGGTCAAAATGACAAAAATGATCCAAAATAACCAAAGATTTGTCCAGAATGATCAATAATGTAGCTAAACAGAAATACGTCCAAAATGACTCACAGTTTGACCGAAATTACCCAAAAATTAAAAAACAAAACAAATATTTTCCAGAATGACCAAAAAGTTTGTCGAAATAACTTCAAATTCATCCAGTATAACTCAGAGTTTTACCAAAACTACAAAAAATATCCAAAATGACAAAAATGATCCAAAATAACCAAAGATTTGTCCAGAATGACCAAAATTGAGCTAAAATGGCAAAAATACGTCCTAAGTGACTCAGAATTGTCCACAATCATTTATAAATGGGCCAGAATGACCCAAATGACAGAACATTTGTCCAGAATTGTCTTAGATGACTCCAACATGGCCACTGGTCGTTCAAAGTTGGCCTAAATGACAAAACAAATGGCCAAACGCTGTGCTCGGAGCTCAGAGTAAAACACATTTCAGTGGTTTTATTACAGTCAGGATCGTTCAGCTGCTTCGCCTGAATGTGAGCGAGTGCAGCTGAGAGCAGGAGTTCACTGGATGCATGTTTACTGGGTTCGTTTCCTCTCATCATCCAGTGAACAGGCTGTATTTTGTTGTGAACATGTTTCTGCGTTTTCACACCAACGCTGAAAATCACACTGAACGAACAAACAAGGATTCAAGCTGCAAGAGACTTTGGAAGGTGTGTTATTGAAACCAGCCAGAAACTGTAAAAACAGAAAGAACGATCAGATTTCTGGATGTTTTCTGGCACTTCTTCATCAGTTCTGTCGGAAAATGAACCAAATCTCAGATTAATATCCGTTTACGTCACATATGAACAACTGTGAGGGAACAAACCTGCATCGCTGAGTTTGTAGACGCTGTGAAAATAGTTAAATGTCTCTCAGAAGAACAGCGGGATGCAAAATGAGAACAACAAGAGTTAAAATGAGAGGAAAAGCACAGATAACAAAGGAGATGACACCAATGAGACAGAAACAGCCCCAAACAAGGAAAAGATTAGAAAAAAAAACCCGCAAAGAAACGAGACTCTCAATAAAAAAAATGACAAACAGGAGACAGAACCGTCCCCCAAAGACAAGAGATGTCCAGAAGCAACACAAATGAGACACAACATGAGAAAAACAAGATCAATTCAGATGCAAAGATGAGACGCAAGTAAGAAAAACGACTCAGAATGAGAAAAAAAACAAGACAAAGAACACGAAGTGACACAAAACGAGCAAAATGAGCTGCAAAGTAAGAAACAAAGAGAACCACAACGTGAACAATGAAATACAAGATGAGAAAACAAGACGTGAAACGCAGCAAGACACAAAAACGAGACGCAAAATGAGAAATACTGGAGTCAAAATGAGAAAAAGTTGTCAAAACTAGAAAAAATAGACAAAATGAGACACAAAACTAGAAAAAAATTAGATGTATAATGAGGAAAGCAAGATGCAAAATGAGACAAATGAGAAAAAACTAGAAAAATGAGACACAAAATGAGACAAACAAGACAAATTCAGATGCAAAATTATAAAAATGAGACGCAAGTAAGAAAAAAAGACTCAAAATGAGAAAGAATGAGACAAAGAACATAAAATAACACAAAATGAGCTGCAAAGTAAGAAACTAAGAGAAGGACAAAGTGAACAATGAAGTCCAACATTAAAAAATGAGACAAAATGAAGAAAATTAGCTGCAAAAATGTGAAAACTGGGACTCAAGATGAGAAAAATGAGACAAAATTAGAAAGACGAGACGCAAAATGAGACAAAGTGAGACGTGACATGGCAGATAGGAGATCAAACATCTCTGCTCTCCTCCTTCATGTTCCTCTGAGCTGCAGGACTTGATGCTGAAACATGAACCAACGAGGTTTTGGGTTCTCTGCAGCATCAGTCCTGAATGTTCTGCTGGTTTCGTTCAGTGGAAGCTCCTTTCCTCCTCGTCGCCACCTTCAGCAGAACATTTCTGGTTCTGATCCACATTGAGCTCTGTTTGGACGCAGAAACAGAAAACCTGAGAAAGCAGATCAGACGATGGAGCTCCTTCCTTGTCCTTGAAAGTAGAAGTCGGCAGGATGCTGCTGTTTCTCAGCGACTCCATCTGAAGCTCCTTTTGTTCTGTTGCTGCGTCTGAAGGAGGATTCTTCTGCTCTGATGGAACGAAGCTCATTTAAGCTCCACTAGTTAATTACATCTCACTGAAACGTCCTCATGATTAAACAATTATCTTAAATTACTTTACTTTCTAATATCACAGCATTCAAATCGTGGACTTAAATATATTAATATTGGTTGTTGTAAGAATGAAGAAGTCATTTTTCTGACTGGAGGACTTTGTGATTGGACGATAATTTGGAAATTACAGAGAAAATAAGCAAAAAAACGTCGCTGCTGAATTACATCTGATAATTTACTGGCCAACATTTGACCAGTTTTTCACATCTTTTTGCCAAAAGTTCACAGTTTAAAAAACAGATTATTAAGATCTGGAAATAAAAAATGTTGTATTTTAAAGTTTAATGTTAAACCCACACACAGAATTAACCAGTGAAGCTCTGATTCTGCTGTTATGGACGAGGATTAGGGCCACTGAAGAAAAAAAAAATAATATTCTTAGACATTAAAAAAAAATTTCTGGGAGATTTTTTTTTTTTCAATCTCTGAAAAAAGTCAGATTTCTGAGATTGAAGTCACTAGTCTGACTTTTTTCTGAATTGTGTCTGAATTTTTTTTTAATGTTCTGGAAAAAAGTCAGAATTCTGACTTTTTTCTCAGAAACGCCATCAGGCCTATCAGGACCTTTGTTACAAACAGTGAGAGGCTCCACCTGGTGGAACAACCAGGTACTACAGCTGGTCCATGGCACGTTGTTAAAACATTTTATATTTCAAATCTGTTATAAACGGCAATTAATCGAATATTTGATTGATCATGAACATCCCTAGCTGTGAGTCAGGAGGTGATGTGACGCCACGCTGCCACCATCAGGACACAAGTCTCTGTCATGGCGCCCGACGCTAGCTCCAGTACTTTTGGGTTTATGTAGTCAATTGTAGGATGTTCTGCTACATCTGGTTGGGTTTTGCAGTTTTGCAGCAAGCTAGCAGGCTTCTCTGGACGTTCTGACCCACAATCCTCTGCAGCAGCTACGTCACAGTGTTTACAACAGCTCGTCAACTATCTGAATCAATCAGGCTTTCCTGTAAAAACACATTCTTAATCTCAATCAGCCTTTTTCTGGTTAATTAGAGGTTAAAAAAAAAAAACATAAAAGGCAATTAAACAGCTGCTCATTAAATCTGTGTTCATCGGTGAGGCCCGTTTCAGGTGAAACCGACCAAATCTGAAGGAAGTCCACAAACATTTTGGTGTCTGGTGTTTCTACCAGGTCCAGTGTTCAGACTGAGACACCTGGATGGATGTAGAACTGATCTGGTGTCAGGTTCTAGCAGAACCCAGATGTGTTCTTCCTCCTAAATGTCATGTGTCTATCTGCTGTACTGATGAAGTTCTGAGGCTCAGAAATGATGGAAAAAGTCCATTAAAGTGATCAATCTGGACCCTCCTCTGTGGACTTGAAGGACCTGGACCTCTGGAACATTCACAGTCTGAAGGTAGAACTCTGGTCAGTAGATAAAGGTTCTGCAGGTACAGAACCAGATGTTCTGATGAGGTTCTGGGGGAAGGACGGGTTGATTCTCTGCTAACTGATTAATTGACGAATCCCAGAAGTGTCATTGTGAGACTGAAAAGTGTCCTCACAGATACAGAAGACCTACAACGTGTGTGTGTGTGAAGCGTGACATATGATCTGTGTGTTATCAGCTGAGATCTGAGCGCGCTCAGTGCAGGATCGCCCCTCAAACCCCCCTTTCATTTTGTTCAATGGACCAGATGACACATTATTACACACCAGCACCGAGTGTGTGTGTGTGTGTGCAAACGCGCGTGTGCGTGTGTGTGCGTGTGTGTGTGTGTTTGTGTGTGTTTGTGTGTGTTTGTGTGTGTTTGCTTAAATCAAAATCAGGGACCTCCACCAGCACAGACACCAGTTAATTGGGAACCCTGTTGCCTTTGGGGTCCTCAATTAGATTTCATTATAGTTGTCTTCAGTGTGCTTCAGGGAGAGAGTGTGTGTGTGTGTGTGTGTGTGTGTGTGTGTGTGTGTGTGTGTGTGTAGTCACGTGTTCTTGAACATACATGTGTGTAAAATCGCAGGTTCCACTCTGGTGAAGCAGCGTTGAATTAGTCGAGGAGACAGAACACGACGGACGGTTTGACGCGTGGGACGAACAAAAGGAGGGAGAATAGAGACGTGATGTCAGAGTCTTCACTGTAAATAATCACATCCAGCAGCGTTAGTGTTTCAGGCTGTCAAGGTGAAACCAGGACGCTTCAGAAACAGCAGCAAGAGAAAGAAACCAGAA